TTAGTATAGCTTCATAGTGGGAAAAGGGAAGGCTTCAGCTGTGCCCTGGAGGGAGGCTGCTGACCTGGGGAAGCAGGAAGAAGCTAACTGGAGAGGATTCTATATGACTGGTTAAGATGTGCATTTTGCTTTTCCAAGGTCCTAAGTTGGAAGCAGAGATAAAAATTCGGGGACCTATGAGTAATTAATCAAGTCCCGACCATTTGTAGGGTTCCTACAAATCAAACTATAGGAGAGAAAAAGTCCCTTCCTCTACTTTCACTCTTCAGTTCAGTGTCTGGGTCCTGTGAATTAAACTGATGAGAGACAGATTAACAGGAGAAAAGGTTTATTTCAAAGGCATACAGAGGTTTCACAGAAAAGATGTGAAAATCCAGAGGCAGTTAGACCTGAGAACCATGTACCATTTTAACAAAGAGTGATACATTGAGAAGAAGTGACTAGACAAAGAAAAACAGGTTTGGGCTTTTGGGACAGTAAATTGTGGGATGGTAAATGTGAGGTAAAAACTCATGGAAAATAGACGTTATTTGAGTAAATTCTGAGTAAGTTCTGTTTATGCAGCCTGAAGGCTGTGCTGTCTTTAGTGATTAGTCCTTCCTTGCGATTAAGAGTTGTTCTCTTTGTGATGGAAAGGGAGATACCCTCATAAAAGGACATTTATGCTCTGATTTTAGACAGATGCAAAAAAAATAAAGAGGTCTTTTTGTGTCTGCTTTCTCAGTTGCTTTCAGCTTGAAATAATCCCTGTGCAAAAGTGACATATTTGGGGGTGGCGTATTTGAGGTCTCTTCATGACTTATAACAGGACTGTTTATCGTAGGTCAGGAATTGGTACCTGGGAAGGTAGTTGCAGGTTGCAGGTCGAAGTGTCATGTGTAAAGATAGATAGATAGATAGATAGATAGATAGATAGATAGATAGATAGACAGATAGACAGACAGATAGACAGATAGACAGATAGATAGATAGATAGACAGATAGATAGACAGACAGACAGACAGACAGACAGACAGACAGACAGATAGATAGATAGATAGATAGATAGGCAGATAGATAGACAGACAGACAGACAGACAGCCAGGCAGGCAGACAGACAGACAGACAGACAGACAGACAGACAGACAGACAGATAGATAGACAGATAGACAGACATAGATAGACAGATAGACAGATAGACAGACAGACAGACAGACAGACAGATAGATAGATACATAGGTAGGTAGGTAGATAGATAGATAGATAGATAGATAGATAGATAGATAGATGGATGGTCTGGCCATTTTCCATTTGTATGCTCAGTCTCTCACTCTCTTCTGATTTGTGATATCTAAGGACTTAATAAAGACCCACAGAAACATTGTTTAAAAATGCTTGATGTGGTCTATGCCTGCAAAAATCAAGAATGACAAATATTCAAATAATTATAAAATTCAAAAATAGGTAACTGTTCAGACCAGAAAAAACTTAACTCACAAACCTCACTCGATGTTTTCAGTAAAGCCTATTTTGGTTGAACTACGGCAGCCATCACAGTTCCACCGTCAACTGGGACGAGGCCAGAAGCCGAGCTGCAGTGCAGTGAGACAAGTCTTAACCGCAGTTCAGGAGACACAGGTTCAGCTGGAAGCCAGACTGTGTTCCAAAGACATAGAGGGGAGAAGGGATTTTTAAGAGAAATGAAAAGGAAGCTAACTGTGATCATACAAGTTGTTTTCAAAGAATGATCACTGATGGAAGTGGCTGGCCGGTTCTTGGCTCTATAGTTCATTGGTTGTTGTTCAGAAGTTGCAGTGCTAGAAAAACCCAGCAGTTTTCTGCAATCTTGTATCATTGCAGTTTGGAACAATTTCAGAGTTCAAGGCAGATTCCTGGTTCTTTAATGTTTGTTTGTTTGTTGCAAGTTTGCATAATGTGCAGGCAGTTCTTAAAATGGCTTTTCAACTCCACTTTATGTCTCTGAACCAGAGTGACACCATTTTGTATACCACATTTCACATCAGCAATTCAAAATAACTCACAACCAACTTCTCCAGCACATCAGGTACAAAAATTGAAAAACAAATGATACTGTTTTTGTTTCACCGGTACCATAAAATGCAGTGGTATTCCACTTTTTAACGAAGGCATTATATTTGTGTGTTTTTGAGAGGTGTATTAATATATTAAAGAGTTCATTTGAGCAAACAGTGATTAACAAATCAGGCAGTGCTAGACCACAAGTAGCTCAGGGCTACAGTAAGGAGGTGGGATAGGGGAAGCTTGGCTTTTAGGTGAACACAGAAGCAAGGCAAAGAACATATTTGACTGGCTAGAGTGGAACACTAGATGTATTTGGATCACTCCAGTGGAAAGCCACGTCAAAGGATGTGGCCAAGCATCCTTTGATAAGGAGATTAGTATGGCTAGTTGGTGAGTTCTGACTGACCTGGAATATGGCCATTCATACTGAATTGGGTTCCAATTTGTGTACACAGAAACTAGGAGTTAGAGCAACTACAGTCTAAAGGCCTCCCAATTAATTTTTAAACGAGATAATAAGATAACATCTAGAAGTTACTTTTAATTTTAAAAAGATAGATACCACTTCAAAAAAGACGTTATGATTTTATTTTAACATTTTATTTATTGCCTTTTGAAGCAAATCTGTCATTTGTAAGAACAATGGAGTAATTACGCAACAGGGTTGCTAACTCATTTAGGGGATGACAAACAGGATCATTTAGAAGCTGCCATTTGTAGATTCTGCAGGATGCTGAAGAATTTTTTTGCCTTTCTTTACTTTGTGTTCATGACGGAAGCCACACAGCTCTGAGAGAAAAGACACCAGGGTACCTTTGAGTACCTCCAGAGAGATGCAAAGCAATGGAGCAGCCAGATCCTCTCACAATTCTAGAGGCTCCAACTGCAGACCCATCTGAAGGCCACTAATTAGGGGGAAGCAGGATCTCCAGCTTTGCAGAAATGTTGGCAACATAAGCCCTAATTAGAGAGAGAACATTCTTTGTTTTGGTGAATCTCAGTGGTTTTTGTACATAAAGGAACCCTGAAAGGTCTCCCATTAAGTGCATGCCTTTGACGGGGGAGACAGGCTGTTCACTCCCAGGCTGTTCAGTGCCCCCGTAAATGTTGGAGTGGAGTGCTAGGACAAGGTGAGAGGCTCTGGAGACAATGCACAGGTACACTCAGCCCTTCATAAATGCCGTGGCTTCACTCCTCAGATTTTGGTTTTGGACATCATGATGTATGTCGCACTTAATAGTCTTTTGTTCCCGTCTTCGTGCTTTGGTTGTTTTCTGATCTCATTAGTCTGACTCAGTACATGCTCTGTAGGTTTCCCAGCACAAGGGGAAATCTCTACAGGCTGCCATTCAGCTGCTTCTAACTAGCAACCAAACAAAGGGAGATGTGAGGCTGCTGCCAAGGACAGCGAAAGTAGCTGGGCATGTCTTATGCCTCATGAGGACATGTTTAAACTATGTCTAGGCTTCTTTGAGGTGCAGCTTATGAATAGGAACTAGCAGTGACGTTAAATAAACATCACCGGGAGGCTAGTTTTCGACTAGCATCCTGCCGCGGGCCCCAGTATGCCAGACCCAACCAGAGTGTGGTCTGCTATGCTTTGAATGTTTATATCCCTTCAAAAATTCATGTGTTGAAACTTCATCACCAAGATGATACCTTAAGAGGTAGGGCCTTTCAAAGGTGATTAAGTCATGAGAGCAGAGCCCTAGTGAAAGGGATTAAGGCCTTTATAAAAGAGGCTTTGCACCATCATTCTCAGGAAACTAACTCAGGAACAGAAAAAAACAACACTGGATGTTTTCACTCCTAAGTGGGAGTTGAACAATGAGAACACATGGACACAGGGAGGAGAACATCACACACTGGGGCCTGTTGGGGGCTGGCAGGGATGGGGGAGGAGGAGCATTAGAACAAATATCTAATGCATGTAAGGCTTAAAACCTAGATGTTGGATTGATAGGTGCAGCAAACCTGATGGCACATGTACACCTATGTAACAAACCTGCACATTCTGCACATGGATCCCAGAACTTAAAATAAATAAATAAATAAGCATTTGGCCCCTTACCCCTCTGCTTTCTGCCATGTGCCATCTTGGAAGTAGAGAGCAGCCCTCTCCACAAACCTTCGCCAGCACCTTGATCTTGGATGCCCCCCCTCCAGAACTGTGAGAAATAAATCTCTGTTCTTCATAAATGATCCAGTCTTTGGACATTTTTTATAGCGTCACAAACAGGCTAAAAAAGATTGGTACCAACAAGTGGAGTATTTCTATAACAAACACCTAAAAACATGGAAACAACTTTGAAACCTAGTAATGGGTAGAGGCTGAGACAGTTCTGAAGTACAGGCTAGACAAGCCTAGATTTCCATAAACGGAAATTAAGGGTGATTCTAGTAAGGGCTCAGAAGAAGAGGAGAGCTGTAGAGAGAGCCTCTGCCTTCTTGGTGATTAGCCAAGTGGTCAGGATCAAAATGCTGGTAGAAATATAAACAGTAAAGGCCATTCTGATGAGGTCTTAGGTCGAAATGAGGAATATCTTACTGGAAACCGGAGGAAAGACCACCCTTGTTACAAAGTGGCAAAGAATTTGGCTGAATTGCATCTGCGTCCCACTGCTTTGTAAAAGGCAGCATTTAAGAGGGATAAGCTAGTGAGTGGCGTTGTTGTCTGGGGTAAATACGTGAGGTTCGTCACCTTGAGCCAAGAAAATTAAGGACGAGGCCATACACAAGAAGTGAGTTTAGGAGCAGAGACAAAAAAATAGACAAGAAAAAAAAAATGAGAAAGGAGAACAGCGCTCTCTCACGAGAGAGGGGTGCCAGAATGGGAACAGGAGACTGATTCAAAAGACGGAACAAACAAAGAAAAAGCACAAGGGATTCACAGCAAGCAAGAGAAGGGCCCAGTTTGCCTGAGCTAGCGTGTAAGGAAGAAGGAAGTGCACTCTGTTTTAACCCCACAGGGAAAGTACCTGAAATGGCCAGACTGCTTTTCATTCCGTGTTCCCGTTTGCGTCCTGTCTGCCTGTAAAGCCGCCCTCCTCTGCTTAGCTCATCAGGACACTTACTCCGTTTCACAGAATGAGGCACTGCCTGATTCTAGAATCACCAAGAAAAGCCAATTAGATCTTCAAACTAAAGGTATTGTTGCCTTTTGACAGTGATAATAAATTGCAAGTATCATAGTCAAAGGTTATTAATAGGATAATTACAAAGTTCATATGTCAAACGTGGTTTCTCCCAATACGTAGCCAGATTATTTGACTCTTTCGTTATCATTACATTTCCATATCACATTTTAAGATTAAAAGGAAGCTGAGGTTTTATTGGGGTTGAAAAGGAGCATGGTTTAAAGTCAGCCTGGAACAAAGAAAAATATTCTTTACTTGGTTTCAGCAATTTGGTTAGGGTCTTATTTCCACTAGAGGCAAATTGTCTTTGGGCTAATCTGGTAACTTCTCTCACCCTCAGTCCCCTCCCTCCTGAGGCCGAGATGATTGTATCTGTCTTCGGGAGCTCACAGGACTGGCTTGTAGATCCAGTGAGATAAATTGTTATTAGCGTTTAACTCGTAAAATTATTTTATGTACATTATCTCACTGGCTTTATTTGCCTCTAGTGAAAGAAAGGCTCTAACAAAATCTCCTCAAACCAAATAAGGATTTTATTGTGTCCCACTGTGATTCAAAACATGAGCCTTCTTAGTGGCAATAAAACCTCAGCTTTTTTTATAATCTTAAAATCTGGTGTAGAAATGTAATGACAATGACAATAATTAGGACACCTATTTGGAAACAATGTTTAATATATGAACCATGTAACTCTTCTAGTCATAATTTTTTACAGTAATATCGACAAGCTTTTCATAGCAGACATGCCGTAATTATGTTTCAAAAAAAAACAGACATATCCTGTTATGATAAAACTGTTTTTGACAAATTATTTATATCAAGCCAAATTTAACTCTTTATTTACACAAAGTAAATAAATCATACTGTTCAGTTATTTCTGTACAAATGATCCAAATTAAGGCAACTCCTTAACCATATGATTAATTGCTTGTATTCAGCTGTTTCATAGTAGAAAAGACCCAACTTAACATACTTGTTCTTTGATACCCACGAAAAGTTTAAACATTTTAAACTATGATAGTTTAGGGAAATATACAGGAAGCCAGAAAAGGAAGGGGAGGGGACTTCTAAGGATATTCGGGTATTCCTTTTGGATAAAATTTAATGCATCAAGTGGCCCCAAATAGATCTACGTTTATTCTGTATAATCTCTTTATCAGAATGGCTACTCCTCTACGACATTATAGGGTCTGCACCCAGAGCCTGCACGAGAGGAAGGACTCCACTAAGGCAACCTACTGGGCCTTTCCTACTCACCCTGGATGCTTCTTATGTTTCTTTCTTTAGAATTATTCTTCTCCTTATTCCAGATAAGGAATACCTAATTCAACATAATTAGCCAGATGCATTAAAGAAAAAATGTTGACCTTATTTCCCACACTTGTAAAAGCTAAGGTCTTACACTCTCGTTATGAGCAATAATAACCCTGCATCTGCACAGGAAGAAAAGCTAAGACCGTAACTTACCCACACTTTGATGTTTCAATCATGCATTTCTGTGCCAACCAATTCCAGGTTTTGGCAGACTGTGAGATATTTTTCTTTCAAGGTGAACTTTCACTTGCACTTCTTCGTAACAAGCCATGGGAGACTAATTACTCACCAAGTAGAAGGTTCCAATGTATAGCCAATGCTATCAGCCCAGTACATGGGAGACTCTGCTCTTCTGATTAGGAGCCGGCTCTCTAGGTCCTGAGGTGAAACGATATACAAGTTATTTTGGTCCTGAATGAGGGAGCCTTTGGCAAATTCATGAAGCATGATTAAGTACTAATAAGCTTAATACCACCTCTCGGCTGGGCGCGGTGGCCCACGCCTGTAATCCCAGCACTTTGGGAGGTGGAGGTAGGCAGATCACCTGAGGTCAGGAGTTCGAGACAAGCCTGACCAACATGGAGAAACCCCGTCTCTACTAAAAATAGAAAAGTAGCTGGGCATGGCGGGCGCGTCTGTAATCCCAGCTACGTGGGAAGCCGAGGCAGGAGAATCGCTTGAACCCAGGAGGCAGAGGTTGCCATGAGCCAAGGGTGTGCCATTCCACTCCAGCCTGGGCAACAAGAGCAAAACTCTGTCTAAAAAAAACAAAAACAAAAAAAACATCTCTTGTCCAATTCCTGGAGGAGTGAAGGGTTACAGTGAAGAGTTCCTCACCATTTCTCCATTCCAGATACATGGACACAGGTGGCAGGGAAAGGAAGTGGAGATCCTGAAAGATAAGGCTGTGGGTCTCCAAAAAAGCCCAGCCTCCATCACCTGGCCCAAAAGAAAGGCACTCCAGGGACCACCAGGATAGCAGGAGCCTGCGTGCACTCCTCTGCCTTAGGTGTGGCCACTGAGCCCTCTGGGTCTCCGAGGCCAAGCACTAGACCCTCTCCAGAGTTAGGGTGGGGCTGCCTGACATTAACACCTCCCCAGCTGTTTTTGAATACACAACTAAAACCCAATCACGCTTATCTTCAAACATTTCCACTCCAGGTGCTTAAATTCAAACTACACGCTATAATAAAGTTGCACCAGCCAGCTTTACATGTAAGGCCTTTGGGCTCAGGATATGTAAGGGACATTTTGCTGATGAAAAAATAAGCCTCGTTAGCAGAGAGAACTCATTCTGAAAGCCCATGTGCTTCAGGAGGGACAGTCTTTGGGCTCCTAACAGCATGGGGGCTCTGAGCAGTCAGTCACGATGGTGTGAGGCTCCACAGAGCTGGGATCTCGCTCCATTGCCTGCCTCACAGTGGAGATGAAGGGCTGGAAGAGGAAGGTGAGGGGGGAAAGGAGGGACGACAGAAGGAGTAGGGAAGGAAGGAGCAATTCCCGGTGAATTAAACTCTCATCTCCTCCTAATAACTGCACAGGCAAATAGCGGTCTATGTAGAGACATACCAACAGGAAAATGTCTAAAGCAGAATGAGCTAAAGGTGACCTTGACAAAACAGAGGCCACGTGGGTAGACCATCACCAGGGAAGTCTTTCCAGCTTCCATGCAGCACATACTCCCAAAGTTCCTTTTTACCTAGGTTGTTTGGGACTTGAGGTGAATTTCCCCAGCAGAAACAATGCTAGAAATGGGACTTGCTGTAAAAGGACATAAGTCATTATTTTTAAAAGTAAACAAATAAAACTTTATGAATGAAATGAAGATGTTCATCATTATGAAGGACAAAAAGATCTGAGCAGGTCATGAGATATGTTTATGCTCTTGACCAGGAAGGCAGTTTAAACTATTAAATCAGTGAGATGCCCATCAAAATCCTGCCCAACCTGACAGATTCTAAAATTGTATTTAAAAGATAAAGTCTTAAGAATAGTTATCAGAAAGAAAACAAGCAAACAAAAAACGATCCTACTTGACATCAAGAATCGTTTTTTTTTAAAAAAAGCAGGAAACTTGCCAGGTGTGATGGCTCACGCCTATAATCCTAGCACTTTGGGAGGCCAAGGCAGGTGGATCACTTGAGCCCAAGAGTTCAAGATCAGTCTGGGACACATGGTGAAACCCTGTCTCTTAAAAAAATACAAAATTATTTGGGCTTGGTGGTGCAGGCATGTAATCCCAGCTTCTATAGAGGCTGAGGTAGGAGGATTGCTTGAGCCCAGGAGACTGAGGCTGCAGTGAGCCATGATTGCACCACTGCACTCCAGCCTGGGTGACAGAGCAAGACTCTGTCTCAAAAAAAAAAAAGAAAAAAAAGAAAGAAAGAAAGAAAAAAGGAAAAGACAGAGAGACAGGACACTAGGTAATAAACACATGAAACATAGTATAGGCACAGGAACAGACAAAAAGATCAGCAAAATAATACAGACACTTCAGGATATCTGCTCCTGATGGATAGACAGACAGTTAGAACAAAAAGATGACTTAGAAGGACTCATGTTAAACTTACATAAATGCTCCAGAGAGGAGGGAGGGGTATGGTCTTGGGAGTTACAGAAACAATTTTATCATGAATTTTCATTTTTTTCTTTAAAAAGTTAAGAACTATTACAAAATATGGATGTTGATTAATTTTCCAGGTTGTGTAAATTGGTGTTTTTCATGATAGACTTTACAGAACTTAAAAATTACTTCCCAATGAAAAGCTACCATCGCAGCAGTAAAAGCAGGACGGCAAGTGCCTTTCACTTAGTTTCAGTGGCCTTAGAAAAGGGGAAGTCAGGCTTCCTTCCTGAGGCGGCATAAATGAAAGGAAGCACTCAGACGTTAGAAAAGTTAACACAAAGAAACAACAAATAGACAACCTCAGCTAAACCATGGATGTCTCGGCAAGACGGCTGGATGGGAGGGATGACACACTAGGGGAAGAAGTCCCTCCGTGAAGATGACCAACTGTAACCCTCGTGACTTAGGCTATTTTGATGGCAAGCAGACAAACGGCCTTTGTCGAGTGGGGTTGCTGTGGGGTTTTTTTAACCGCCTTTAGATCAAAAGGTCTGACAGCTCCCACGGCCTGAATGGTCCCTGCCATGCTGAGACCCAGGATGGATGCTTCAGCATGGCCGAGGCTTGACGGGCTCATTTGGAAGAGGACTACTTTGCCCTGATAGGAGAATGGATTGGCTGACCTTGCAGGGCATTTTCATCATCCTTTTCCCAAATCTTGAATGAACAGAATTCATGAGAACAATCATATGCTGTCACAAACTGAATGAATTCATCAAAAACCTCTGCCGCTTTCACTTAAATTGTTTTAAATTTACTCTGTCGCTGACAGGCAATGTTATCGAACTGAAAGCGTTAATTTGAGCAATTGGAAGGTTGCTCTGATTTAAAGCGAACTTTAAGAACATGAGAGTCAGATTGCCATTAAAGAAGAAAAACTTGAAATTTAAAATTTCAAGCACATAAAAATTTCTAACGCCACAAGTCCCAACATGTATTTGTGCTACATAAATGGAGAAAGTTGAACAAGAGTGTTTACTGAGAGTTGCAGACTTAATTTTCCAGATTGAAAAACTGACAGTGTGAAACTCAGATGGAAGAAACAGACAGGGCAGAGACCGTTACATAAGAGGTGGTGGTGGTTTAGACAGGGAGGGTGGCAGTGGCGTGGCTGAGACATAACGAGCCTTGGATGTATTTTGAAGTTAGAGATGATGGGCTTTGCCAAGAAACTGGACATAGAACACGGGAGAAAAACCAAAGTCAACTGTGACACTAAGGCTGTTAACTTGAGCGGCTGGAGAGATGACGTTTGCCAAGATATGGAAGATTTTAAAAAGAGAAGGTCACATCAATTGATTCAGAAAAGGCATTTGGCAAAATCCAACAGCCGTTCATAGTAAAAACCCTTAGGACACGAAGCACGGAGGGAGCCTCCTTAACTCAATAAGGAGCGTCTACATCTGACTTCACACTTAATGGTGAGGGAAAAACGGAATGAAGGGAAGTTTTTAATAAACGTCAAAAGACACCCAACATTTCTGTATGCCTCTGTGAATAACCTGACACAGTGGGGAAAACAGGATGCCGGAGAAAGAATCCGAAATCAGAAGCAGCATCATTGAGCTGATGACGGTATCAGGTCCGGTGGACAAGGGAAGGGGTTGGCATCAGATGGGAAAGCGAACAGCTGACCCACATTCATCTCAGTAGCAGCCAAGTGTGAGAGTACCATCCAGCTGGTAAAGACTCCGTGGTTGATTCCATTTTCTCAGTGGATTACAGACCAAGGTCACGCGCTGAGAATAATAATGAGGGAGACTGTGGTGGTTTTAGGAGAGCAGGGAAGGGAAAATCGTCTCTAGAAGAACTGGGAAAGTGATGAGTATTGGAAAGGAGTGGGATTGCCAGGCAGCACCGAAAGTTTACTTGGGGTTAGTGATTGTCAACTTAAAATAAATCAGTCAGCATTTTTCTCCAACCTCAGTCACTTGCCTGCAGAGGAGGAAAAGGAGGCAAGGTAGTTGAGAGTAGAAGGAGATGAGTAATGACCGCCACACAACACGACATCTAAATCAGGTGACTCACAAAGTGGGAACATGAGGGATTACAGGAAATTGAAAGGACTGTAAACCCCACTGGAGTCAAAGAAGTGTTGGGAGCTCAGGCATGAGAGAAGTTGATTTAGATGAGTAGGAAGCATTGGTCGAAGACTGGCATTCTTAAAATGGACATTGTGGAGAGGAAATAAGATAGTTTTTTTTTGAGACAGAGTCTCGTTCTGTCGCCAGGTGCCAGGCTGGAGTGCTATGGTGCGATCTTGGCTCACTGCAACCTCCGCCTCCCAAGTTCAAGCAATTCTCCTGTCTCAGCATCCGGAGTAGCTGGGACTACAGGCGCGCGCCACCACGCCCAGCTAATTTTTGTATTTTTAGTAGAGACAGGGTTTCACCATGTTGGCCAGGATGGTCTCGATCTCCTGACCTCATGTTCTGCCCAACTCGGCCTCCCAAAGTGCTGGGATTACAGGCATGAGCCATTGCACCTGGCCAAAACAAGATACTTTTAAAGACAGGTATAGAACATAGCTAGAGTTATAAATGGCAGAGATCATGTGAGGGACAAGGTCGTTGGAGAAGAGGCAGACAAAGAAAAAAGAAGTCCAATATTGGAAGGTGTATCTCTGCGGATTCTGAAAGATGCAGAATTATGACAGGAGTGTTGGACAGAGCAGCAGGGCAAGTGCTAACATCTTGCATTAACGTGGAAAGCGGGACAGGGCTTGGAGCCGACTGTGCTAAGGAGGGCTAGT